ACTTAAATAAGTACAGTAACACGCGCGCGCCAACCGCATGTATTGTACTGCAGACTGAGTGGACTGCGTACACACTGTTGCCACATTGAATTACCGTAGGTCTCTACATCTACACTGCCGTCAAAAGTCCCTAGTTATACATGAATTTAGTAACAAAAAAGTCCCCAAATGTCGATAAATTTAATTTTATTAAAAAAACGCGAAACAAAGATAAAATCGAACAATATATTCATCAATATATATATATATATATATATATATATATATATATATATATATATATATATATATATATATATTTTTTTTTTTTTTTTTATATATATATATATGCAATATAAGCATAATAATGTTGTACATGTTAAGTGATTTATTTGTAATAGGTGATGTAATGTAGTTGTACTTCTCTTAATGTGTTTATTATTGTATAAGCGACATCCAGAGAACCTTTGTTTCACTTCCTTTACATTTTATTATTTCTTTAACGGATAGAGTATAGTATTCCTTACGCCTAAAGTAGTCAGATGGTAACAAAAATTGAAGTAAGTGCAAATGTCGCTAAAAGTCGCCAGAATATTTTTTGTCGCTAAACATTGAATTAAACTCCCCAACTTAACAAAAAAACTCGTTAGATTTAGCGACAAAGTCGCTAACGTGGCAACACTTTGCGTACAAAGTCGGACTGCCTCCTGCCCGTCATGGCCCACACGCACAAGATCATTCGTTTCCAAACTGTTAGCCTAGCTTTAAACTGTGGTGCTAGCATAAATCACTACGTATTTGAACAGACCGATGTGAAATTGGGCAAAAAATGTGCTATGTAATGATGATCTATTATTTTTCGTTTTATGAACTATGTCGAGGGACTTCAATAAGTGTTCTAATTCCATTTAAAATACAACTTATTTAGAACTAGCGACCAACCATAATGAAAGACCATTTACTTTATGATTTTTTTTTCAAAATAACCTCGAGCTTTGGGATAAAATATAAAATACATCCTTCCTGAAAATTGCTCTCTATCTGTTGGTTTTATTATACATGGTACAAGCATTCAAAAGATAAGCCCAGATAGACAAACAAACTAGCAAACATTTTATTTAAGGTTGTTTATGCTTTCATCATCATCATTACAGCCCTTCACAAGTCCCACCGCTGAACATAGGCATCCCCCAAGGAATGCTACAAAGCACGGTCCAGAGCCACCTGCATCCATAGCCTTCCTGCGTGTCTTACCAGGTTGTCACTCCATCTAATGGAAGTTCGCCCTACACTACGCCTACCGGTACGAGGCTGCCACTCGAGAACCTTTTTTCCCCATCGGTTGTCGGTTCTTCCAGCTATATGTCCGGTTCATTCCCACTTCAGCTTACGAATAGACCTCTCAGCTCAATAAAAGGTTGTTTTTTCAATGTTACAAGCAAACACCTCAATTTCTAGTGTCCATAGAATTGTTTACAATAATGTTAATTGTAAATATTTACAATTACATTAGTAAAAAATTATAAATGAAATAATTACTTAGCAACGTAACGAATACATAACATAATAACATAAACTATTACGCCAGTCACCCAGAAGTGTAGATTGAAATTACTGACGTCTATTTGGCGCGACCCTGACACACCTGTCTCACCTCTTTCCTTTAATTCACATACATACATCTACGCATACATTTACGTTAGTTAAAGTTAATTAATTTGACTTAACTTATATATTTTACATAATATTTTTATATTTTACATAATTTTATATTAATTTGGTCAGTAATATACGTGGTAGAGGCAAGCTGCAGCTATATTACGGTTGTTGCACGAATAGGTCGGCTCGACCGAGGTGGGACAAAGTTCTCTCAGAATACCAGAGAAAATAGCAGCTTAAGCTGTTGTGTTTCGTATGACGAGTGCAGAGATACGGAGACTCTTTTTTCTAGAAACGAAGCATTCCACTGTAGTCCTCATGGGTGACAACGCATCTGCATTTTGATTCTTGATCGAGTAAAAAATGTAGATGTCTATGGGCCACGGCGGACACTTACCATCAGGTGGTGCTATGCGATAAAAAAAATTCGGACCAAAAAAAGGTTGATGTCGGGCGTATGTGACAACTCAAGTGGTTACGGGAAATTACGTATTATTTGAAGATTGTAGCATCTATTAGAGATACATTTGTAACCATGTTATATTCTAACCAAACTTACAATACCACTGGACTGACTACATAATATAGTAAATCAAAGTACGTGACTTATACAACGGCCTGAGGTGGTAACGTTACATACTCATTTTTATGATCTTATCCAGCATAGCATTATTGATATGATGATGAAGATAAAGAAATTTTACTATCCAGAATATAAACATTTCTTTAGCTTATATTTTGTACCTCAAATTAATTAATAAAAGGTTTAAATCAACACTCCTTAAAACTATTGTAATATCAAGGATTATAGACGAGTTTTACTAAAGTTAATATAAAAGAATATTCTGCTTCTACTTTTTAATTAGAAACAGAAGTGTTTCTTTATTTGTTCAATTTTAATTTCATTTACAGCAATAAGGGTCATGTCGACGCTGATCACAAGGGATACAATGGCAAGAAAGGCCACGAAGAACACCACGAGAATCATTCGGAGTATGGCAAAAAAGGTGGCAAAGAAGGAGGCTCACATTGGGAACACGCTAAAAGGAATTAATTTTTAATACTAGTAAACTATTAGTGTACGATAACGTGATTTTACAAATATATGCGTTTTTATTCTTTGTATAGTTGTTGGGGCCAAGTATAACTCCTAGTGGTAACTTTAGACGGTAATTGTATTTTCTAATATTGATTGCGAAGCTATTATTACTAAATGTTATTTCCAAAAATTCCTTATTTTTACATTGTATTTTTTTTAATCAGTGGCTATTAAAAGACATGCAGTGCGATGTTTGCAGTATTAACTACACACGAAATATTAAATCGTGAAATACTAAACTCGCATTCGATTCAAAATATTAAGGGAATGAGAAGTGTTATATCTTATCATCTTTCACAGTATATACTTCTCTTTATATGACATAAATTACGCATATTAATATTAATATATAATGAATATAACAACTACTTTCTATATAAACTTTCCAATTTCTTATTATTAATAATTTATTAATATTTTTTCTTTAACTTGCTATCAAAAATTTCAACTACTTTTCAAATGTCGCACTGCATTAGAATCTTAAGGATATTTATTTTCTTTATTTACGACCGTAGCATAATACGGTCAGTTGAAATAAGGAGGAGTACTTTACCCTTTCTAAAAAAAAAAACACTCACTTATGCTGATCAAATTTATTTATCCAGGTTCTAGGTTTTAACTTATCTTGACAACCTTGAATTTATAATCTAACTTTTTTAACCTACTTTGTATTAGTAATTCGATTAGTATAATATATGTCTGTACTTAAGTCATAAAATAAGGTAACTTTACCATGTCTAAAACCTCACTCTCATTTTGATCTTATTTGAAATCCAGATTTAAGATTTTAAGAACAAATTTTCATAACCCTTAATTTTATGATCTAACTTTTAACTCTCACATTATGTTGAGATTCTGATAGAAATGCTTACGCTCGTAATATTCCTATATTTTAAGTAAATTATGACTTTATGAAATAAGGGAGCTTTACCATGTCTGAAATAACCACGCCTATTCAAATTTTTTTTTTTGTCTATTTTTCAAGTATAAGATCTCGTTCCAATTTTGATAGATATTCACAACTTTTTCGATCAACAGATAATATTTATTTATAGAATAATATAAACTGGTATTAATAAAATAGATTCATTATTTCACTTTTATGTTCAGTTAGTTTATAATTTATTTGATAAATAACTTTAACTGATGGTTGAGAAATCAGTCCCAAATAAAATGGTCCTTATTTTTTCCTAAGTCTCAAGGTTTCCTTTGATGTCTAAAATAACCCCACTCTCTCTCTCTATTCTATTTTTATGCAGCCCGATGTTAGATCTAACTAATAAATAAATTATAAGGATTTCTTATATTTACACGAACACTGCACATTGAATAAACCTACTTTTACGGATTCTATGGCGTTTAATTCACTTGATTTTAACTCCCTATGTTTGACATCGGGATGTTAACCACCTCAAGCCGCCGTGATCATGGGTGCTGGAAAACACCCGATGTTTCGGGAATTAAAATCAACTAAATTAATCGCGATAAAATCCGTAAAATTAGTTTTATTTAATTATAAATAAAATCCACGTTATGAGCTTTGTATGAATGCCATTAAGAATCATTTATGTTTTATAATGGCACTATTTTCAGATGTCAACTCTCTATACTCGTATATTCGAAAAGCTGCTGAATAAGCAAGACATGAGAGTTGCTTATTAATGTTAGTATTAGGTACCACGGTTTGAAATTTTGTATCTCTCCATAGCTTGATGTAAATATATACCTAATTATTTTTTGTATTATACGAGTAATTATTAATGAGTTTTATTATTAATACCACCCTATCTTAATAATACAACTGTTCGATTTTGACAATGACGACACCTTCCAAATCATTTTAGATGAATTTATAAAAATGATCTGTACGTGAAACTAAATAAAGCTGGGCAAAGCAGGATCAGAGTCAAAAAGTGAAAAATCCTGCTATATAGTAATTTTGCTGCTGATGTGTATATAGATGGTGAAGCGGGGGACTATTGCACATGTAGGGTAAAAGAGTAATCTTCATCATCATCAGCTTAATCATTACATTCCTTAACAAGTCCACCGCTGAACATAAGCCTATCCCAAAGAATGCGGCAAAGCAAGATCCTGACTCACGTCCATCCATAAAATCGTAAATTAGTGGACAAATAATGTCTAATATTAAGATTAACTTATGGAGCTCTTAATGAAAAGAAGAACAAAACTATTTTGTTGTATATGTTTATCAGATATATCCAAAACGTAATAAGCTGCGATTAAAATACAGTTAACAATGTCAGAAATATTGTGGTTTACAAGGCTCCTCTTTGTTTTTTGACGGATCGAAGAACTTTGAATAAATTTCAACAGCCAGGTGTGGCCGGCGGGGGAAGAACATTTGTCGTCCAGCTCTATCGACGAAGTCTTCATATTTCATAGACCACTCGAGCTTCATTCCGCATTTCTTACAGATTTTAGAACTATAATAACAAAAGCAATATTAATGACCAATTAGTGAAGAAAGCTTATTTTCAGAAGTGGATTTGTAATCATCATCATCATCATCATCATCAGTACAGTCCTTCAGAAGTCGACCACGGCAAAAACCGTATTGGCGATCATGAGCTGGCAGTTTACAATGGACTCCGTTGTTTTGGAGAACAAGGCGGTGATGGCGATAGGTCAGTAGTTGGACGGGTCTGAGCGGTCGCCTTTTTTCGGGATTGGGTGGACGAAAGCTGTCTTCCATGATTTTGAGACTACGCCTAGGGAGTATGAGTACCGGGAAGGGCGCGTTAAAACTGGTGCTAACTCTGGAGCACACGTCCTCAGCACAATTGGGGAGATTCCGTCAGGCCCACTCGACTTGTGGACGTCCAGAGAGAGGAGTGCTTTGCGAACCGAGCGCTGTGTGAACTGCACTTCCGGCATGGAGCACTTACACCGCAGGATGATCGGCGGCGTACTCCCCCCGTCATCGAGGGTCGAGTTGGACGCAAAGAAAGAACCTAGCAGATCGGCGTTCTCCTTTGCGGTATGGACCAGTGAGTCGTCCTCCCTGTGCAGAGATGGAAGAGATGGCTGACAGAAATTCCCCTGGACAGCTTTGGCGAGAGACCAAAATACACGGGAAAAACTTCTTACTTCCAGAAGGAAGGCGAACTAGTTTCTCGCCAATTCTGCCTATGTGCTCTGACTTTGCCTTGGCAATGACTCTTTTGAAGGACCCGAGGCGGAATTATACTTCTTTTTTAGAGCGCTGGTGTTTACATCCCGGGATGCATCAGCCCAGGCTTGGTAGTACTCCTGCTTATAGCATGATGCTATTTTACAGGAGCGACCAAACTATGGCTGAGATTTGCCACCGATGGGCACCACAGAGGAAGGAATAAAAAGTTCCATACCCTGAAGTACCACATCAGCGACAGAATCCGCAACAACGTTGGGATCGTCCAGCGAGAAGCAAACCCGCCCCCAAGGGTAGTATGCAAAGAAAAACCGCATCCTATCCCAATTGGCTGACCTATAGTGACAAACACGGCTTCAGCCTTCTGAATGTAACTGCGATTTCGGCGTAAGTGGCACCACACTCCGGACAAGACAATGGTCCGAGGAGCTTAAAAGGGCGTTGAAGAAAATATGATATCCGTCCGGGTGAGAGGTCAGCAGAAGATCCAAAAGGGAAGGTATGATCCTCTGGAATCTGGAAACCGCGGAATCCGCGTAGGCGAAGTAACCAATTGTGTTAGACCATATGCCAAGGCAAAATCATGAACAGATCTCTCCGCATGATCGGTTAAAAGTGAATCAAGCCATTCGGCGGGATGGGCGTTAAAGTCGCCGAGGATCACGATTTCTGTAGAGGGATCTGCTGTAGCAACGAATCTGTAGCCATTTGGATGTGGTCGAAGAGTCGGTCCGTTTTGGCATTACCGCTATGGGACCTATAGAGGCACCCGTAGACGCGCGGATGGTCGTCGCTGTCTACGCGTAGCTAAAGGATGGACAAGTCCGAACCTTCAAGACTGCCAAGGCGTCGAGAATAGATGTCCTCTCTGACGTAAACGCAAACTCCAGCCCGAGGTACAAAGGAGTGTTCCAGTTTGTACCCCGGGTAGGAGAGATACGAGACATCAGCCGGAGAGGACACCTGCCTCTCGGTCAGAAAGAGCAGAGCCGGCCTCGCCGTCTCGAGATGGTAGTGGACGGCGTTTAGGTTAGAGTGAAGTCCCCTGATATTGCAAAAATTCACGGATAGCGTGGCAGGGGTCGCCTTGGTCTTGCTGCTCCGTTTGCTCCGAGCAGTTGTAGTCTTGAGCAGAATTTTGCACCCCCCTTACCCCACCCTCAGTATACGCGGGGCAGCCTGAGCACCCACGCTCAGGAGTGAAGTAACTTGGTCGTGAATACTCAGCGAGGGATTCTCCAGGGGTGCTGGTACCCTCCTGGGGTAGTTTGACATTTAATTCCGCTACCATGTTAATGGGATTGAGGGGGATTTGGCCTCCGGCCACCTGCACTCACCAGACTAAGCGCGGAAGCAGAGTTTCCACTTCACGCCGGTATTCTGTGAGGTCTTGGTACCACCCCGGTTTGAGCCGGCCCATACGTGCGGCAGCAAAGCTGCCGCGTGGCTCTACCACTGTTAGAACAGCCGAACCTCCACGGGAGATTCTTAGCACTCCCTGCTCCAACCTTACCATTATGGATTAAGAAAGGAATGCTTCGGTGGTTTGGTCATGTAGAAGGGATGAATGAGCAAAAAGTGACAAAGCAAATTTATGTTGCAGAAGTGAACGGCAGAGTCGGTAAGGGATGCCCTAGGTGAAAGCTTGTCGACCAGATTCGTGACCTATTGAAAAGGGGCCCAATTAAGAGTACCCTTAACCCACGAGCATGTATGCGTAGGTATATGGATGGGAAAGAGGCGAGAGAGGTATGTCAGGATTGTGCCAAATGGAAGTCTGTAGTCTCCGCCTACCCCTCTGGCTGACAGACGTGAGTGCTTATGTAATCAAAATAATCACCCGTGCAATCGATGCACCTTTAACATCAATATATGAACGCATACATGCTCGTTGATTTTATATATAGTTGATAATATAAATGTAGTCGTAATTTGGCTCATCTTCAATATATTACCGATTTGGTCGATTAACTTTCGTTTAGGGCGTCCCTTATTGCCTCGGCCACTCACTTCACTATCGCTGAAGGATTTTATTTCGATAATACTTCCAGCGATGTGAGGTCATATTCAGCATTGGCTAGTAAATGTGAAGAGAAAGAAGGACCACCCTCCTCACCATAGAATACAATAATACATACACAATAGAACGGAGGAGTGGGTGGTGCCCGTGTAGCCACTAACATGTCAATTCACACATATAAATCTCAACACATCTCTTTTGATGTCACAGTCGTTGCCCAATTTTTGTGTCAAGCATTGCTGGGTGCAATTTATGTAATAATGCCGATTTTTGCAAAGCCTACTTAGATCATCAAACTATCTCAATTTTATTAAAATCAGTTCAGCAGTTTAGTTATGAAACCTGGACAGATTTTCGCATAACAATTTGTTTATTGTTTAGTGGTAAAAATATATAACCTTCAAGTGCCTCGTTGGTCTAGTGGTTGTAGTAGTGCGACTACTGATCATGAGGTCCCGGGTTCGAAGTCCCGTGTCGGGCCAAAAGATTAATTACTGAGTTTTTCCATCAAGAAATTCTCAGTAGTTGCCCGGAGTCAAGAAGTTGGCGGTGTCTCACCCCCGTGCCTCGGAAAGCACGTAAAGCCGTTGGTCCTGCGCCTGATCTCTCTCCGATCGTGTCGGTTTACCGTCCCATCGGATTATGAGAGTGAGGGAATAGAGAGTGCACCTGTACTTGCGCATACACTTGGGCACTATAATCCTGTCCTGCGCCGATGGCTAGCCTCCGTTGAGGCTGGCCGCCGTGGCTGAAATTCGGTCTGGAGGACATTATTATTATAACCTATAGGGCGACTCCCCACTGGATGGAGTGACGGCCTGGTAAGACATGCAGGAAGTCGATGGACGCAGGTGGCTCAGGATCGTGCTCTGTGGCTCAGGTATACCTCAAAACCTGAAAACCAACTTGTACAACCAGTGCATGTTGCCAGTGATGACCTACGGAACCGAGACGTGGTCCTTCACTGCTGGCGAGGACGCTCAAAGTCGCTCAGCGAGCTATGGAGAGGGGTTTCTCTGAGTGATAAACTTAAAAATGAGGATATCCGCAGTAGAACCAGAGTGACCGACATAGCCCAACGGATTAGTAAGCTAAAGTGGCAATGGGCCGGCCATATAGCTCGAAGAACCGACAATCGTTGGGAAAAAAGGTTCTCGAGTCGCAGCCTCGTACCGGTAGGCAAAGTGTAGGGCGTGTAGGCCACTAGATGGAGTGACGACCTGGTAAGACATGCAAGAAGTCGATGGATGCAGGTGGCTCAGGACCGTGCTTTGCGGCATACCTTGGGGGAGGCCTATGTTCAGCAGTGGACTTGTGAAGGGCTGTAATGATGATGATGATATACCTGTGGTTCATGTTCAAGTACGTTATCAGAATCGGTATTCAAACATATAGAAATAATGGTTTCTTTTTTCTAAGATGTGTTCAACAACTTTTAATTTACAATAAAAAAATACTTATTGCAATTGTTTGCAATTCATTTGCACACTATTTACAAATAAGTATGTTTTAAAATTCAAGCGATTTCTTTTTTGTAAATCATGATTGTACGGTCGATTAAAAGTCTAAAATGTGCAAATTCGCTCAGTTTGTCAACACAATTGTTCCTTCTCTTTCTTTTCGGAAAGAGACGGTCTGTAGATATTCGTTGTGAATCCGTTGTTATAGCCGTGGAATAAATTCTGATTTTATTTAATGTTAAAATGCGTTTGTAACATTTATTTATTGAAATATGTATGACATATAAATAATGAAATATGTATGGGTTTCTAGTAGTGATAATAAAACGTAACCGCTTGTATGTGTGCTCGCGGCGACACCAGTTGTCGCACAAAATTAGGTTGGTAGCCCTTCTACTGTGTATTATAGTATTCTTAGCTCCTCACTCTTTCACGTGAATCATTTTGATACTAAAGTACACCTGATTTGTTGATATAACTAACAAAGTTATAAACTAAAACAATAATAAACTATTTATACTTACGTATAATGGCTGACCGCTATGACCTGTGCTACGGGATAACCTAATTCTTCAGCGTGACTGAGAGCAGTATTTAAGAGAAGCTTGCCTACACCTTGGCCAGCTACTTCTGGGTCTGTACTAAGAATTTCCACCTTAGAAAAATGGTAAGCCTTTATTAGATCACATAGAAGTTTTTGGTATAAGTTATTACAACACAAAAAGAGGCAATTTTAATGTTTTCCAGGATCAAATTAAATCAAATATCTTTATTTATGTAGACATTAAACAAAGCACTTATAAGCGTCATGATATTATAATAAAAATAATTGTTACTTAGTGTCCTAACTACACTCATATATAGAAAATAGCTACGACGAAATCTTTTTGTTAAGAAGAAACTATAAAATTTTCCAACTTTGAAAATGAGAGAGATTTTCAAGAGGGTCACGCCTGTAATACCCGTGAGGAAGGCAGAATCAAAGAAAATAGCAATCTACTCACACCACGTCTAGCCAAAAAATTGGGTTTAGATGGAAAATGTGAATGAAGTAACAGGTGGTTAGCCCACGACCTGCAGAAACACAAATCAAGTGTCTCATTAGTTTCTCTCGTTTACACTCGTTTTACGTACATCTGTACATGGTACAGCCATGCTGCTACTATATTAAGGTTATAAGGTAGGACTACTCTTTTTTTTAATAATAATAATAATTTATTTATTTCTCACCACAAACGACATGGAAGCTACATTAGTGTTACATCTCTATTTTAACAATATTTTGTCATTCATGGGAGACTGGTGCCCGTGTAGGTTCAAAGACCCGTATTACAGGTCACCAGGCCCCCCCCCCAAATTTACTTGGCAACAAGTATAATATTATAAGGAGATCACTTATGTTATGGTTAGAAATAATAATATTTAGAGAAAAAATAAAAAATATAAAATAAAAGATACAAAAACCACGTATTTTGTAGCGTAAGTATGAGAGTTTGTAACTGTTAGCATGTCTGCGTGTATGTCCGTGAATATTTATGAGATAATTTGGAGTAATTGTTCAGTATCTGTGTATGAAAGAGTCTGAAGATATTCTACAAGTCTATTTTTACATGACCATCTGTTGACTTCATGAATAGATAATTTTTGGTGTAATTTATTATATAAATACGGACCCAAAAAAGTAAAGAATTTCCTAGCAAAAGATGTGAAGAAAGGCACTGACTGAGCTACCAGATGATTACGGCGGCAATGTTCCTTTTGAGTTATTTTTGAAATTGCATGTTGTCTTAAAACTATATGTAGCACAAATAGTTGTCGAACTGTAAGAACTTCGCTAATTCTATACAAATCTAAAGTTGGGTATAAGTAGGGTTTAAAATGGATAACTTTTAAAAGTGATCTTTGCGCACGCTCTAATTCAATAATATGTGTTTTGGCTGCACCACCCCAGACTTCAATTCCGTATGTTAATAAAGATTAACACAAAGCATAATAGGCCAATTTTAGTACTTCTCTATTAGCAACATGTCTTAATTTATTAAATATAAAAATCAGTTTACGCACTCTACCACATAGTGTTTTAATATGAGAACGGAATGTTAAGGTGTTGTCAAATAATATGCCAAGATACTTGATACTATTAGTCTTCTCTAAAACGGGACAGGAACAATCTAAAGTGTTAGAATTAGCACAACAGTGAGCAATGATTTTATGCGCGTCTCCAGGTAAGGATGAGGTACGGATTGCAAAAGGCATATATTTAGTTTTCTTACAACTTAGAGTTAGTAAGTTCTTCCTAAGCCAAGCACATACCATATTAAACCCAACCTGAGATTGCCGGAAAACATCCTCCCAGGTGCTTCCAGAAAAAAGGAGAGCTGTGTCATCAGCAAATGTAATTATCTTGTCATTGTGAAGATTAAGGTTACACAAATCATTAATAAAAATGAGGAATAGAGTCGGACCAAGTATACTACCCTGAGGAACACCAAAAAAGACAGGAGAATCAGAGCTGATGACACTATTAGACAACTTGACACACTGACATCGGCTACTGAGATAGCTAGAAAATAATGTAAGTTGACAGCCTCGCACGCCAATATCCTCAAGCTTTTGGAGCAACAGTGGAATTGAAACGGTGTCAAAAGCTTTCTCTAGATCGAGAAAGATGGCTAAACTCTTTCTACCCTTATCTAAGTTTTGCGTAATGTAGTTGGTAACCGAAAGTAAAGCATCTGATGTTGATTTTTTTGCACGAAAACCGAACTGGACATTTGATAATAAATTCTTTTGCTCAAGGTAGTTCACTAGTCTAGAGTTTATGATTTTTTCAAAAACCTTAGAGATTGACGGCAGTATTGATATAGGACGATAATTATTAGGTAGACTTTGATCGCCATTTTTGTAAATTGGATGAACAACAGCTTTTTTCAGCACCCTTGGAAAAACACCTGCCGTCAAACACAAGTTGATAATAAATGTCAGAGGAGGCACTACGATGTCTTTGTACTTTTTCAGAAGACCAGTGGAGATACCATCCCATCCAACAGTTTTATCTGATTTTAAAGCAATGATAATCCGTTCAACTTCTTCTTCGTCTGTATTTAAAAGAACGAAAGAGTTTTCTATTAAATTAGGACTTGAAACCGCAGAAGTAGCATGGGTTGAGATAGCTGTCGTCTGGTCAGGATTTTGCCAGCATTGATAAAGAAGGAGTTAACTCTATCGGCCGATTCACATGGGAATGGACACAATTGTAATAATTCGTGGCCTGGTGTTGTTCTAGGGCTAGTATTGGTAACTTGGTTTATTGTCTCCCAAATACGTTTTGAGTCTTTTCCAGCCTCAGCAAATTTATTTCTTTCATAATCGCGTTTAACGCTCTTGAGCAAAGAATTGCAATAATTTCTGTAGCGCTTATAGGTTACTTTGAGAACCACGTTATCGGGTGATTTATTAAACTTTTTGTGTAAGTTGTCTCTATTTCTAAGACACTTTAGGAGTCCTGGAGTCATCCACGGCTTAAGAATTCTGCGCCTGCGGGATGGGATATAAGTTATAGTCGCGTAGGAGATGGAGTTACGTATAGCATTTATAAAATATTCCATCGCAGAATCGGGGTCATCTAAATTTAACAAGCTCTCAAAATCTACACTTAAGAGACTTTGACTCAACTTTTCTTCGTTTATCTTGTGAACACTCTTAGGTGGAATGTACTGTACTTTCTTTGAAAGAGAGAGTATCACCGCAAAGTGATCAGTCACAGTGGCTTCAACAACAATAGTAAAAGCTGGGTAAGTGGTTTTGAGCAGAACATGGTCAAGACAGAATTTAGGCGTTAAATAGCAGTTCAACACAGCAGGTGTTTTTATGGTGAGTGAAGAGAACCGGAAACCTTATTTACTGAAATCGTGGCGTTCCATATTAGTTTTCAGTGGTACGCATCTGCATTTTGATTCTTAATCGACGATAAATGCAAATGTCAATGGGCCACTACATCCACTTACCATCAGGTGAATTGTGTGCTCGTTTGTCACCCTTATTCTATTTAAAAAAAAAGTAAAACAGTTGGAACATTATTTTTGTTATCAATTCCCACATCAATATGAGACCAATAAGTATTAGGGACAACCTGGGGCAACATTATTTAACTATAATATTATATTAATCTTATAACAACTAGTAAAACATGAGGCAGCATAATAGATAACAATTCAGAATCATAAAAAAACTGCAGTTGCCAACCCACCTGCACTGCGCCCCAATCAGGCTATCTATGGGTTGTTAAATTATTTATTAATCTGTGCTATGGATTGGTAAACTATTTATTAATCTGTGCTATGGGTGAGTTCATGTTCAGCAGTGGATTTTTATATTAGATGGATATATAAAGTGGACGGATAGGTGATGGTAATCTATTTAACAGTGGTCATAAGTTATTTCCCATTGTTGCGTCTAAATTCACATACAGAATGAAGTGGGGTGATAGATTCTTTAAGATTGCCACCCTCGACACAGCAAATTATAAAGGTAATGTCTTAAATTTTGTAACAGTTGGATGAAATTTTATACGTGGTAAAGCTACGCTGCAGCTGTATTATAGTTTTAGCACGAATGGGTCGGCTCAACCGAAGAGGGACCACGTTCTCACAGAACACTTGCGTGAAAGAGCGGATTAATGCTGCTGTTTTTGGTACTTGAGTTTAAAGCACGGGAGACCGTTTTACAGGTAACGAGACACTCCAACTTAGTTTTTAGGGATGACAACGTTTCAAGATTTTGATTCTTAATGAGGATAGATGTAAGCGCTGTAAAGTCTTTACGTGGTAGAGCCATGCTGCAAATATATTAGTAGTATAGTTGTAGCATGAATGGGTCGGCTCGACCGGGGAAGGACCACGCTCTCACAGAATACCAGCGTAAAATAGTAGCTTAATGCTGCTGTGTTTCGTATAGTGAGTGTAGAGAACCGGAGACCCTTTTTACTGGAAACGAGGCATTCCATCTTAGTCCTCACAGGTAACAATGCATCTGCATTTTGATCCATAATCGAGGATAGATGTAGATGTCTATGGGCCACAGCAACCACTTACCATCAGATGGACTGTGTTCTCGTTTGTTACCCTATCCTATAGAAATTGCCTATGAGCCACAGCATCCATTCACCATCTAGTAAACTGTGAGGACGTTTGTCACCCTTATCCTATAAAAAGACGACTTATTATCCTTTATAACGTTTTCTATGAAATTGTTAATGGATAAATAATTACCTCATAAAGGTAGTCAACATTATACTTGTTGATCAAGTTAGAATCCTTCAAGCAATGAGCATTGAAGTACATCCTGGTTTGTTCTGGTTTGGAGGATGTGGAGTGTGCCCATTCCTCCAGCTCGTCGCTCGTCCATGGAAGTACTTTGTTACCGATGCTGACTCCAATTAATTTCGTTTCGCCGGTACGTTCAATTTTTTCGAAGGCCAAAAATCGATCGCCTTTAAATGCACACAGAAAATTATAGAAATTAAAAAAAAAGAAAACTTTATTTGACACTACAAAGAAAAAAGAAATAATACGGAATAAAAAATCGAGTGATTGATAACTGTTGCTGTAACCTGACCTGAAGACAAACTCGAAGTTTTCTGAGTGATAGGATCCGTAACGATGATATCCGCAGTAGGATCAGTAGCCGACGTGATAGAATGAATTAGTAAGCAGAAGTGGCAATGGGTGGCCACATAGATTAAAGAACCGATGGGGAAGAAAGGTTCTTAGGTGGCAGCCTTGTGTAAGTGTAGAGCTACAAATTTATAAAAAAATATGCCGAAATTTTATATGTATATGTACCCGGGACAAGTAGACTGACTAGGTAAGTCCAACTTCGACTGAGAGGTCAATCGACGGATTCAACTCGGCCGGGCAGCGTTCGGGAGATTGCGACACATTTTCTCGTCAGGCATACCTCAAAATCTTAAAACTAGATTGTACAACCAGTGCGTATTGCCAGTGATGACCTATGGATCTGGGATGTGTTTCTTCACTGCTGGGCATATGAGAAAGCTCAAAGTAGTTCAGCCAGCTAAGGAGATGGCTATGCTCGGGGTTTCTCTGCGTGATAAACTTAGAAATGAGGATATCCGCAGTAGAACCAGAGTGACCGACATATCCCAACGGATTAGTAAGCTGAAGTGGTAATGGGCCCGCCATATTGCTCGAAAAACCAACAAGCGATGGGAAAGAAAGGTTCTCGAGTGGCAGCCTCGTACTAGCTGGCGAAGTTTAGCGCGTCCCTCCAATAGATGGAGTCACGACCTGTTAAGAGATGCAGGGACTAAATGGATGCAGGTGGCTTGGTACCGTGCTTTTTGGCATTCCTCGGGGGAGGCCTATGTTCAGCAGTGGACTTGTGAACGGCTGTAATGATGGTGATGACGTAATGTTTATCAATCAATCACTTTAATAAGAGTTTATACGCTTTAAAGGTGACTACTTGCCATTAAGAGACACTAGAGTGAAGAGGAACAGGATATGGAATCAGCATCTTCTATCCTTTTATAAAACTTAAGTAACGAACAAACTTACAGTCCACTTGATAGAAATGACTACTGCAGTCCAAAAACACCTTTTTTATCGTAGAGAAATCCTCATTGATACCTTTTGCTGCGTGGGTAACAGAAAGGTTACACCGGAATCGTACCGGCCAAAACCTCACGATGATCATTTACAGCGCATATGAGGGGGAGCCGGGATCTCCGCAAGCCAACTTCAAACAAAGAAAACTAAAAAGATCTGGCTCCAGTTATACTGGCTCTGTACCTATAATAATGGTGGTACCTACTCAGACTGACTCCTAGACAGAAAGGAAGCCCTATGACCTAATATTTTTCCTGACCCAAAATAATAAGAAAACTGTGGTTGCCATTCCGCTTGCCAAGCGTTCCAGTATACCAAATATCCCTCCTATAAGGCAACATATGTAGTGGCGGTGTGCGAATATTCGCTACCACATACCATTCCGTGGGTGTCGTAAGAGGCGACAGAGATAAACAAATCAGGATAAGGACAGCAGCGTCTTTCTAATAAAGACAAAAAACTGCGGTTGCGACACCGATGCCAAGTGTGGCAACTAAAACAAATATCCTCAATATGAGACAATCCATGGGGGGGCCTATTTTCAGCAATAGCCAGTTTAATATTTGACGACTCCGTGGCGCAGTGGCTTAGCAATGAGTGGCTGCGCTGGGGGTCGCGGGTTCAAGTATTTGTATGGCCTACAAATAATTGTTCCGGGTCTGGATGTTTGTCCTTGTGCAATTTATGTTTGTAAAGTGCCCCCACGATACAGGAGAAAGGTTAGGACATTGAAGGGATTATAATAAATCTAACTTTAGAGAGAAATAAAAAAGAAACAGTTTGTTTTGACCGTTTCTATTGACTTACAAAACAATATACTAATTTATAACAAAAATACGACATTTTATAAATTTGACAGCTAAGCACATGCTCAATAATGACCTCAATGAATGAGGTCATTATTTAGCATGTGTTATGGCGAGTTTATCAGTTGCCAAATGTTGTAGTGGACTTTTGATTTGCTATAATAAATAACAGCTTCTCGGAGCCTAAAATTAATCAAAAAAGAGCACAGCCCGGTCACGAGAATACGTTGAATACGAAAATTTCATTCCACTCCGTATAGCTTCTTTTACTATTTATCAATATTCTTGTTACCCTTTTTGCCCAAAATAACTTGGCATCTTAAGCATTATACGTACTATGCAACGTTTGTGTAGCCACTTAGTTTATGAACAGAAATTACATGGGTAATTATTTACCAGAATTAGCGTATTGGTCCGTCAGGACTTCCAAATAAGGGCTGTTAAGAGGCGTCCACAATCCAACGACACTGGGCTCTTGAGGCCAGAAGTGGGTGTAGAGGAACGAACGAATCATGTTTGAATGGCATGAGTTACCTCTTTCGACTGTCACTTTTTTGATGTCGAAGCACTGGAAAAAATAAGAGTATGGACAAAATGATAAATTTTATTTAAAAAAAATGAACGTCACTGCGTAGTGTGAGCGTAAGAGAATCCATTGCCTATCCTGTGGAATATACCTGATAATGAATACATAAATAATTCTTCTTAAGATGATAGGAAAATGACGAAAGGTAGTGAAAAAAATAATTCATATGATTCGCGCACTTTCTACAAAATGTATTATAAAAACACGAGTAGAATAATAGGCTGGCTACTCGTGTTTGTGCTTTCATACTGACAAATTTTATTTTATAATTAAATCGGTCACTAAAAGTCTTTGAGCAAACGTTTCTAATGAGTTCAAAACAGCTCGGTGGCGTTTTTTCCAGATAGAATTCAAATTTACCGGTTTTTTATCCGGCGGATACAGACACTCATCACACGGTGATCGCCTTCTAAACCTCTTGAGAGTCATATCTGTTGCTGCTAGTTGGTTCCTTTCTAACAAACCTAACAGCATATTTCTGCAATTGTATAAGAAAGACATTATTATAAGATTGTTTTTATTTTATATATTGGTTTCATGAGTTTATTTTCCCTTTTTTTGTTTATTTAGTATTTATTATTTTTTTATTATTTTAAAAAAATTACACGATTCAGAAATTACATCTGTCAAGATCTGTTTTTCGAAATCATAGATTATTAAATATTATTTGAAGACGGTAGATGATAGTAAAACGTAGTGATTAAAAAAAACTCTTCAGATTCGGATGATAGATTCTCTTTAGATACCATTCTCTTTCGATAAAACCACAGGATATAACGAATAGACAATTAAAAAAACCTCCCTACATGATCATGTTTAATAATTGTTACAAAAAAATCAATACGTTTTCATTGTCACTTTCTTTTATAAATAACATTACAAAATTAAAAGAAAACTGTATTAATCATACAACTGTTTTTATTTACCTAACCTACTATGAAATAATTTTTCGAATTTTGTTTGAAATACTGTACTGGCATTCTAATAAAAAAATAAAAATTAAATGACGTTTTTGGCGTCATCATGTCAGTCGACTTACAATATACACAATAATATTAAATAAATAGTAATAAAGACCACGAAAATGGTCTCCAACCGGAAACCAAAACAATGAAATTCACTTTTCTGACTTTCCTCTGTTAAACGCGTTTGCCCCGTCATGTTCACCGTAATTCGCCACTTGACGATCTCAGTGGGGTCAGCCTACCTAAAGAAACCTAACCAAAAAGTTCCTATCAGGACTGTTGCACGAACTTATGGTGATACTCCTAAAAAGGACACTTCACAAGTAGTTGTAAGTGAATATTGACTTTCATCTGAATTTTATTTTTGAAACCTTGTCGAATATAATAGAATAGAATATTCTTCTTCAATACAGAAGAAGATTATTCCATAGTACTCATTCGAACTATAGTTAATACTTAATACTCGACTAGTACAACTGGTAATACTACTACTACTACTATACTACTACTACTACTACTACTACTACTACTAGAGTACTAGTATTAAAACTTTATTTTTTGGACTTTTTCAAGTGGATTACGGGATATCACAAACTCACAAACCTTCAGAATCTGATTAAAATCTAAAATGTCATCTTAATAGTTACCTTAAACACTGACTCATGTTTTTCTACCCCAAAGGGTAGAATTTATTTACGAAATTTATATAAAAGGACCGCTGAAGTATAACGTATTGAAAAAAAAATCGAGTATGCTTAAGACCACACGACTGAAGTAAAACTTCTTCTCTTCAGCTCCATCTGTATGTATGTATATATATGTTTATATATGCATATATGTATAATATATACATGTATATACATTACGTATATTAATTTTCTACAAATATTTAAATGTATTATTGGCTTCCATCCATAATTTGTTATTATTTACCCGAAAATTCACAAAATATGAACTTTAAAATGAATTTACAATTTTATTCACGTTGAACGTAGAATATTTAATGTATTGAACAAAATACTAATTCATAAAATTGTTCAAAACGAAATAAAATTACGAAAAATAACTGGCTATGAGAGAAAGAGAGAAAGAAAATGTGCGCGCGCACTGCTCTCTCTTGCTTATATCCCCCACTCAACTCCCGTTCGCCTCACCCGATCACACTTTTCGTAACGCTTTCGTCACGTATTCGCCAGCTTACTACCCAAGTCAAGCGTACGTAAAGAAGTTTCACTTCAAAAAGCATTATTAAAATCGTTTCGCAATTAACGGATATATCGCATAACTTACATACAAGAATTTTACCCGATAAATGCACATTGTTACTGCAATACATGCTATGTTGCTGAAGTAAAAGGGTAACTACCCTCTAAATCAGGTATTGTGACCCTAAAATAACTTCTCCTACCTATTATATTATATATTGTTTATTTTCTACTTATTATTAGGGAAATTACGACACCCACGGTACGTCATTGAGTATTGTATCTTCTTACACCGCCACTACAAACCCCTGTAAAGCGGGACGAGATACTAATACCAACTCACCAGAAGGAATTCCTACACAGAAATGGAGATTAGAAAATTTGTTTCTATTATTCAGGCGCAGAGTACGACAAATAATGAACACATCAGAGTGCGCCGCGTTCGACCCGCAGACGTTCCCAGGATATTGAAATTCATCCACGAACACACGCGCGCCTTCTGGCCCGGACTCACAGCTCCCTCGAACGCTTCACAGATTGTATTAAGTGACTACGTCTCCCGCGCATTAGCACAAGGTACGCTTAGTTTGGTTTCACATGCATAATAGGGTGGTCATTGCGGATATGCTGTAATATATTGAAGATTTTAATAATTAATTAGCCAAGATTCACGTAATATAATAAATAGTTTCTTACCTAGTTTTGAAGACCACCTCTCGTCGTTATATCGTATGTTGAGATAAGTAGTGATGGGGATAGTGCACGCAGTTAAAGGAGTTAATGTCTGTTTTTTGCAAACAAACAAAATAAATAATATTATTCGATATAATATATACGATTCCGAACAAGCCACAAACATTAGTTTCCGAACGAGCAACTCGCCTTTCGCCAACCCAGCGAAGGATGATTTGCAACTAGAGATGTGCCAACTCGGAAGAAACTCACCTTGAGTTCGCTCGAGTTGAAATTCACGTAACTCGAATTGAACTTTAGTTCCGCAACTTGAATTGGCAGAACGAAGCTGTGTCAATTTATTACAATTATGTTTATATATTTGTTTTTCCATCAAACTCAACACAGTGTTGAGACGATTATTAATACTAAACTTAATAGGTAGGATTGAAATAAAACGTAGGTATTTATAGTACTATGTATATGTATTTTTGGTTTGCATATAGATAATCTTCATAAAAAATATTTATGTTATTAATAATATACCTATCACAAGTTATAGTTAGTCAATTTATTAGTATTATATAATATATAAGCACGATGAACGGATTCTGCTCTCGTTTGCTTGAATGTTTAGTTCAATTACCGCCAGCCCGTGCTCAAGTTAGTGAGTATCCACTCGAGTTACTCAAGTTGAACGCATCTCGAGTTGACTGGAATTAGTAAGTCGAGTTGACCCATCTGCAACGCCGCCGCCATCATATACGCTTCCTGATTTAGCCGTCTGGAGTAGCCAGCGCTTTACGCCTTCTTTTTTTATATACAGTTTAAACATTTTTTTTTTATTTTATACATGATTCTGTTAATAATCAGACAAATATACAAGATATATCCAAATTGGAGTTTTTCATTTTACACAACAAACCACAATAATAACTCTAAAACACCGTGTGCAATGATGTAACCAATTTAACCAGTGCGGTTAATAACCGTAATAGGTAAGGGTTTTCCTTACAGGACATTCGATGCTAGCCGAGCGCCAAGAATCCAGACACAACTGGTCCGAAATCCGCGCTGTAGCCCTCGGCATGACAATGTGCAAGTGGGACGCCACGATACTAGAGAAGTGGGCACGTTGTGTGACGTGTCCGCGTTCGCGCCAGCTTTTGATGTTCACCGCGCACTGCCTGCGCGCGCCCGCTCTACATGAAAAATATCAAGTGAATAGTATCTTGCAGGTAATATTTATTCCCAACTCAGACTCACCAAATGTCCATTGCTCTACATAGATATCGCCCGTTGAAAGAAGAATTTGCCACAATAACCCCGTTTGGCAAGGCGATTGATCGCACTACCAAGTCTTGTAGTTTGACACTAGGGTCGTTTCTAGGCTAATTTTGGTTTCCTTCATTCCCCTTACATGATAACATCATCAAATGATTTTTTAATTCATTCATTACAACCTATTAGAGTCCACTGCTTAACATTGGTCTACCCATAGATTGCCGTATATGGGAGATGTTTGCCATAGTTGCCACTTTTCTGTGGCGGGCTGGCAACAGCAGATTTTATTTTTAATTTTTAGTTGTTATTAGGGAGACGCTGCTGACCATATCCTAGATTGTTTCCATCTGGCGCCTCTAACGACATCCACGATACGATATGGGGTGGTGAGTATTCTTACACTGCCGTTATTCGTCGGCCATTTTGTATAGAATAAAGGTGACAAACGAACACACAGTCCACCTGATGGTGTGCGTGTGCTGTAGCCCATAAACCTACCATTTAAATGTATCCTCGATTAAAAAACAAAATGCAGATGCGTTGTCACTACTGAGAACTAAAATGGAATGCCTAGTTTCCAGTAAAAGGAATCTCCGGTTCTCTACACTCATCATACGAAACACAGCGGCATTAAGCTGCTACTTTACACCGGTACTCTGCGAGAGCACAGTGGCGAAGAAAGGGCTCCAAACTAGGGTAAGCCCATGATATGGTTTTGTTGTTTTTAGCAGTTTAATAAAAATACACCAATCTTGAGCTGTCTTCACTCTTTAGTTTCATTTTCAGTGCTGACAAGGACGTGTTTAACAAAGCACACAGAAAGCATACTACCGCTAGATAGATTGTATGACATAATATGCAATTGCACACCTTCGGTGGTTTTGAAAACAGCCGTTTGGGTTTGCTTGAGATATTTACAAACAATACAATACATGAACAAAAGAAAAGCATGAACAAAGTACAAACCTCTAAATTATATTTTGTTTAATTTATATGCATAAAAGAACAGATTATGACAGAAATTAGATAGTTATAATGAGAAGATAAAGCTTTGCTAATTTTTTACCATAAAATAATGACTATTTATTATAATTATAATTATTCATTTTCAATTCATAATAAACCGTACAAAATGATATTTTTAAACTCATATATCACTATAAATTAGCCGATAGCGTATTTGTGCCATCTAGCGTAAACTTTAGGTACCATCGTGAGAATCAACCAATTTTCGTTCGATAAAATGACTTTACCTATAGAATTAAGTAGATGGCGCCATTAAAATTTTATATACTGGAAAGTAGACAGAGAAACCTAACTGGAAATAACTAAAGGGAGTACTATTGTTTAAAAACCTCAATATATTCTTCTGCATTCTTTTGATTTATTTAATTAAAATTTGGGTTTCACGTTAAAAAAAGATTGTAACACTTATTTCCTCTAAAATTAAACCTAGGTCTAATACTTTATGTTGCTGTTCAAATTGATATTTTTAATGCGTATGGTAATATAAATATTGAGTTATTAAACCTTTAAATACGCCTAACTTAATTAAACTTTAATACTAAAGAGTCCTGTACCTATATTTAAAGTATGAAGAAATGTTTATTGAATATTAAATTTCATTTTTAAAGATTTTTACCTTTTCCTCGCCGATTAGCACTTCAACACACTTATATTCATCACAATGCTATTATCCTCCCATTTCCACTGAAAATCTACGAAAGAGCATAAATGTTTAACAAACACAACAAAAACAAACATAAACATTGAAATGTGAAGTGAACTTGCATACGAGGGGCCCGCAAACACTTCGCTAGTCGCTAACGCACTCCTAAACAACTTCATGGCAAAGCCAGGCTTGTGGCTCAATAGTAATTGCTATATAAACATTTCGTAGTTATATTTCATTATAGAATATTTTGCCATAGGTTAGAAAGAGAGCGATCGTCTTCTCGAATGCCCCGTAAAAAGCCCACGCGAGCGAGGGAGACAACTAATAGCTCTATTAAAAATCACTTTTTATGACAGCAGCAATATCGCCACAGAGTACCTTTGTATAAACGTATCGGTAAGGCAATACGAGGTCATCGGTCGACATGTGTCGAAAAGTGGAGTGCGCGGGAAAATTGAAACAATTTGAAACAGTTTATGAGTTATTTTATTAGTTGATATTATTGATTGATTCAGTTTTAATAAGGCAAGCCCGGCTTTTCGGCTTTTATGGAAGCTTCGCCACTGCGAGAGCATGGTCCTCCTGGCGCTACCGCGTATAAATCTTTATTTCTTCTTTATTTACTACTTCAACTCTATTGCTGTCCAATAAGAGGACTTCTACCGTTTATCGACGTTATAGTTTTTCATGATGATCTCATTTAACAATAAATTATCACATAAAAAGTTTTTTTTTTATTTTCTCCTTAAATGGCATTCTGTTTTGATATCACAAAAAACGTATAAGGCACTCCCTTCGGCCGTGTGAGATTTCCCCTCCATCTCACGATGAGAATGAGGGATAGTTTTATTTATTATTATATGGACAACAAAACAGAAAACAATCAAATAACATTTGAAAAAACACTTATGTATAACATTAAAGATCTTAAACATTAATTTGCTTATTATCCGCGTAATAAAATAAAATGATTTGTCTTATCTAGTTTGAAGAGCATCCCTTGGTATGTCTTTCCTGGTGTGGTGGTGTTGGGAGTGGTGGTGGTAGATTTTGTGGTAAAGTAAAGCACGCAATTGAGGGAAAGCGGGGGTGCTCTTCAGACTAGGTAATGCACATCATTTTATTTTATTACGCGGATATAAATAAATAAATTTTTTGATCTTTATTATAATGTATTTCCGCAAAGCAACGCTAGATTCAATTAATTAAATATATTGGCATGTCAGTATTATATTAATTACAGCAGTAGATAATTACAAAAATAGTATAGTGTCATGTTCTCATCTTTTTTATAGAATAAAGGTGACAGATGGCACACGGTCCACGTGATGGTAAGTGGCCCATAGATGTCTACATCTGTGGCCCATATATATCTACATCTGTTCTAGATGTATTGTTATTTAAAACATCTAGGACTAATATGGAATGCCTCGTTTCCAGTGAAAAGGGTCTCCAGTTCTCCCAAGCCGACCCATCCATGCTACAAATATAATATACATAGCTGCAGCATGGTTCAATCACTTAAAATTCCTTATATAATCTTATATTTAAATTCACTAACGCTTTAAGTACGTAGTACTATTATTTATTCTGTGCTTTAAGGTTATTTTGATCGTGCCTCCTGACACACCTCAACGCAAGGAGATTATTCACTCGCTCACAAAAAGTGCTATCCAGCGCGGACGTGACGTCGGCTTTACCGTCTTGCGATTTGATGCTGGCAACGACGCAGTGTAAGTAATAATATTAAACTATTATCATGACTTTTTGCCGTGCGGTGGATGGAGGCATTGTCTCATTTCGTACTGGTGTTGTTATAGACGACTATGAAAAATGCTAGAATAGTCTATGGTTTCCGATTGATATGAGGCGTGGTAGCTCAGATGGTTACCGCTCGCTGTAAATATAACAGAACGCAAGTGACCCGGGTTCGATCCCCACCAGCACCAATGCAATTGTTAATTGCAATTTTAAGTGCTGATTTACCACGTGCTCGGCGGTGAAGGAAATCATCGTGAGGAAACCTGCATCTCCGAGGAATAAGAAAAAAAATATTTCGAAGACATGTGAAGTTTGCCAACACGCATTAGGCTTGCGCGGCGGACACTTCCTTGCCCTAAAAACCCTCTCAGAAATGAGGGGATTCCTGTGCTTAGCAGTAGGACGTATATAGTCTGTAACTTTACTTACTTACTTTCCGATTGATATAGATGTAGCGTGATCGTCGCGTCACATGAAAAACGCACCGAATCCTAAATCACGCAATGAAAGATCCTAAATACACCAACTAATTTACACCAGACGTGGAATATACAAATTGGCGACGGACACCAGCCACAATAATGCTTACCCCTGGTACAGCATTCGCAAATCTACATGGACATGGACCTTTCCCGTTATAGGTATATATGGCCAGGTATATATGGGCGTTTAAAGGATGTAGATGTTCCGCAATAGAGCTGTATATCGATGCTAGGTATATTCGTTTTCTTGAGAGCTATATTATTTTGTTGTAGTAAGTTTTGATGTTGCTATCGTTTCCTTGCACGTGTGCTATGTCCTTATAGTAGATAGTAGAAGGACAGGCTATTGTTGCGCGCCACAATTAATACCTGATACATGGTGACGCTAGTTACCACTAGCGCCTTCTAGTACCGAGTAGCAGAACTAAAAGAGTAAAGATCCTTCTAGAAATTTCCATGGAAGAACTTTCTAAAACTATCGACAGCTAGTCAGTCTTCAGACCGGTATGTACTCGAATATTCTAGATGTTTCTACAGTAAAAGGTTTTGGAACTATCTAAGGCCGCATATATATATATATATATATATATATATATAATCACGAATAACTGCGTATGATTGGCTCTCTCGTTCTAAGGATACAACGGGAACATGCATTGATTTATGTATTACACTAGATCAGTAATAACCGCGCCAAAGCGTTGTCACTGCACATACGGCCACAGCCATATGCCTAGCTGACGTCAGTTCAGTGTTCAATGTGACGCCGACAGAGTTGAGCTGCGATAAAAATGGGTAAATACGTATTGAAAGAATGCTATTCAAGGTCACAAAAACGTAATAAATCAAGCGGAATCACTTTTGACACATATTTTTTAATTCTTGTTGTGATATAAACATAAAAAACCTTAAATAATTAAATATAATTATCGAATATTGCCATTTAGGTGCAATGTTGCCACTTTTCCTCATTTGTGATTATCCTACATTAATAGAATAATTGAGCCGTGGTAGCTCAGATGGTTAACGCTCGCTGTAATTATAACAGAACGCGAGTAACCCGGGTTCGATCCCTGCCAGCACCAATGCATGTCTAAGGAATAAGAAAAAAAATTATTTCGAAGACATGTGAAGTTCGCCAACACGCATTAGGGCAGTGCGTGTTGGCACATGAGGGGAGGCCTGTGCCCAGCAGTGGGACGTATAAAGGCTGTAACTTTTTAACTTTACTTACATTAATAGGAGACTATATAATTAATGGAATAAGTTAATTTGTTACCTCTTATTTTAAATATTTTGGAAATTATAATAAAAACTACGTTTTAACTTTCATATGAAATATTTAATTATTCTTATTTTAGTTTATTCATGAATTATCTATTAAATAAATTTTATAATCTTTTTTATATAATTAATTTTATATTAATTATAACTTCATATAAATTTTATATTAATTATATTTTATTACCCATTTTATATTGTTTGATTTATGAGTACAATAAAAATACTTACAAAAATATGTTTTATGTCATCATTATGTTTACTTTTATACATCTGATATGCTTTGTATCCTTTTTTTTCTAAGGGGACGCAATAAAAATTTTAAAATAACTACTTTTTTAATATAAAAGCAATTAACTGCAGATTTAAAAAAAACTCATTTTATTGTGTATTTTGGGTAAAATTTCATATAGTAAGCCACACCAACCCGCCATTGCATGTTTGTGTGTCTATCTTTATCTAATCTTGGCGACGATATTGTTTCTGCAACTTGTGTAAGTGAAATAAATATATGTTTATTTAAAATTGTTATTAGTTTCAAAACTATGTCGTCGCGTTTGAATAGTGGTTACACTTTTTTCGACGCGCGGTAGTGTGGTTTGCTCCTCTAGTGTTGTATAACTCAATGGGAACATGCATTTGCATGCTAATAAAAACATAAATAACCATTTTTAAAATGTTGTCTGTTTGTTCGGGCTAATCTTCGTAACGGCTGTAAACTGATTAACAGATATAAAACAATGCCTGAAAGGATCTAGAGTATAGTTTATATGAAAAACTTGATTTATTATAAAAAAAGGCTAGGGTTATACCAACGTTCGAGCGCCGAGCCGAGCCGAGTGTTGAATTCTTTTAATATTTCATTATCTCTTATATATGATATAAAAAGCAAAATTTATGTTCATAAATTTGTCTAGATGATGAAGTTAATTTCGTCCGTAAGGATCAACATGATGTCATGCCTAAGGATAGCGCTCATAAATCAGTTTTTACTTTTCGATAATTTTTTATCACAAAATTCCTTATTGTAACATGTGTGCAATATGCGTATGACATCTAGTACGGCCATACTAATACGGGGCTAAACAACGAGATGACACATAAAGCTGCTCCTCGTCGTCATCGATCTTGTGTATTATACATGTGGCGTCTGTCTGATCTGGGCCAGGTCATCACAGTCATAATAACTTAATATTTCTGTTAAGCAGCATCCAAGTACTAGAAGAGCTACATCTAAACAGAGAGTGGCAAATAATGTACGACGTTTTGCCTGACGCTATAAGAGAGACAGACTCCGGTTACGTTAAGACCACAGATATTCAAAAATCTAATGAAGCAAGTACAAAGAGAGATTGCTCAGGTGAACAGGGGCATTCGCTTGCAGTATATACGGCCTTCATTAATGATATTCCTAAATGAACAAATACATATATTCAAAATCCACAGTGGCGATAAACAATAAATTATTAATATAATGCATAAAAGTTGTTTTATTGTTTTTTCTCATGTAAAATGTTATTAACAAAAGAACTCGTCTAAAATAGTCGGACTTATCTACACAATTGTTTTAAAGAATAAGCGTGACAAACGAGCATACAGTCCACCTGATGGTAAGTGGAGCCCTGAGGACTTGATGGAATGCCTCGTTTCCAGTTAAAAGGGTCTCCGGTTCTACACTCACCATACGAAACACAGCGGCATTAAGCTGCTATTTTACGCTGGTATTCTGTGAGAGCGGGATCCCACCCGGGTCGAGCCGACCCATTCATACTGCAACCACAAAGCATGGCTCTATCACGTAAAAATATAAATTAAATAGAAGTCTTGGCTGTATTATTGAAATAACTGGCTTCTATTAAGCTTAGTTATTTTCTTGCTAATTGATAGAGGGAAATTGAAATAGGTGAGGGACAAATTCTTCCTGATAACAACTCAAAATAAAACACTGTGGTTCACCACCCGCTCGCCAAGCGTGTCAACTATTGCAAATTCCCCTCTCTCCTCAGTGTGGCAGTCTATGGGGGAGGCCTATGTTCAGTCGTGGAATTTTATAGGCTGTAATGGAATGAATAGATATTATCCAGGTGATTTAAAATTGAAACTTTCTCACTTAATCACAGTTTAGTTTAGTATTTTGATAAAAATCACAATTACGGTAAATCATCCCGATAAAGGCCACTCTGGATATTTGAAGTCCGACAATTTTGGATGTTGCAAGAATAAGTATTCAGTAGATTTCGTTTTAATTTTATCAGTTACTTTTCATTCGTTTATTTGACAATATTTAGATGGCGTTATTGTTAGATTAAAACTATGAAACAAAAAACTGTACCCTCTAGGAATGTCAGCGAGAACAAGTTGAGGGACGACTGGGGTGCCAAAATCGCACAACAATGCCGCAATCATTTATATAATATATAAAATGGACATAAAGTGATTCAGACTCTGTTGAAAATTCTATTTCCGCCAAAAAACGTTATCAGCGCTGCTGGCGATGAATAATGAAATTATTTTACGACAATCTGTGGCTTGAGCTGTGCACCGCTGTTTTACCTGTACCCGCGTATATCACGCCACGAAGCCGCGGAATACGACAACTCGCTTGTAGAAACATTCACTGTTGGTTTCTCTCGGCTAATCGGACGGCTGAGGTTATACCTACGAGCAATTAACCCTACCGACGTTCGAGCACCGAGCTGAGTGTTGAACTATTTTAATATTTCATTATCTTTTAAATTAGATGTCCAAATAAATTTATGTGAAGAACAATATTTATCTTCATAAAATTGTCTAGGTGATGAAGTAAATTTCGTTCGTAAGGATCAACATGGCGCCATGCGTAATGGTAGCGCTTACAAATCAGTTTTTGTTTTCAATAAGCTACAAAATTCCTTATTTTAACATATGTGTAATAGGCATATGACCAGTGGCGAAGCTAGGGCTCCAAACTAGTGTAAGCCCAAGATATGGTTTTGTTGTTTTTAGCAGTTTTATAAAAATACACTAATTCTGTCTCCACTCTTCAGTTTCATATTCAGTGCTATCGAGGACGTGTTTAACAAAGCACACAGAAGGCATACCACTGCTAGATAGATTGTATGACATATAAGTAATTGCATACCTTTGGTGGCTTTAAAAAAACTGTTGGGGTTTGCTTAAGCGAAAGAAAAAGATATTTACATATAATACAATACATGAACAAAATAAAA